GCAGGCAGGCAGGCAGGCAGGCAGGCAGGCAGGCAGGCAGGCAGGCAGGCAGACGATTCATATCTATGTTCTTCAGATGTTGTTTGGCACAAACATATTATGCTAGAAATGCAAATTTGGAGAAGTGTAAAATATTATAAATGGTTGTTCCATGAAAAGGTATTGTTGATATGCATTTAGAAAACAATCTGCAAAACTGCTTGTCTGATCTGTTGCTAAGAGTTACATGAAATTTTTAAATCTCTCTCTGTGCCATACACACAGACATTTCCTTTAGTCTGATGAGTGGAATTTGGCTGAAGTACGACATTGTTGGTTGTAGTTTTATGCTTTATAATGACCCTTCTGACTTTTAGATCTCTTCCACTGGCCAAAGATGGGTGGCAAAATTAGTTTTTTCTGAGGAAAAACTTAGTGAATAGACAAAGGGAATTTCCCTGCTGTTAGAAGAGTCTTCTAGTGGCTTCAGGAAATGCGTGACCAGAAGTGGATTCACCAAAAGGCCAACACTGAAGAAAGCCCCCCGCCCCATATTAATGTCTTTAAAATAGAAAAGGAACAAAGAAAAGAAAAGAAACAAATACAGTACAACAGCTCTCTGACAAAAGTACAGTCTTGCAACAAAAGAGTTAATTTCCATTTCTTAAACAGCAACTCTCAGAATCTTTAGGTGGCAATAAATTATTACACCACAAAAGTAAAAACAAAAGGAAATTGCTATTATAGACAAAATAAGAAAAGGCTTCCACCTTGCAGGTTGCTTTCTTTAACAAAGCTGAGTAGAATAAATCAGAGAACTACCTGTCTCAACTTACCTGGGAACATCCAGGCACTTTAAAATATACTGGAGACATCCTGCCAGACATGCTACTAATGATAAGGCTCTGTTTTCTTGTTTTAACAGCCATATTCCCCACCCCCACCCCCATCAAAAGCTATTCTGGAAGTCAACTGTGCTACCCTGAAGATCAACAACCTCAACAATCTGGCATCTATTATACCTCACTAGAATATTTGGGATTTGTATATTAAACATGGTACCAGATGTTGAACCTAATCGTGAGTTCACCTAATTGAGGCCACAAGCATCTAGTATAATTTATTATGTCATAACCTCTTCAGTCTTTTAATCTGGTGATTTCATTTAAAGTTGGGCTATGGCTAGGGGTGACCACTTCTTGCTATTACTTCATTTGGGTTCTAGCCCATACCCAACTTCCTTGGCCAGTACCACCTGGGTTAGGAATAATGACATACATTTAAATGGTTGAAAAAGGCCACAAGAGTGACACAATTATTTCTTATTTCAGACCAGTCACTTGATCTATGTGAGCTCCCTTTTAGAGCACAAATCCTGCAAAAGATTTAGATAGATATAATATCTTGATAGATAAATTTCAGGGGTCATTATCACCTTATCAGCATGTCATGACCAACCCTCTCATCTCAGGCAGAAACTCTGGTTTGACCAGCACTGCATACATGCCAGAATAGATTTAGATCATAGCTTTCAAATATTATAAAAGAGCAAAAGTCCCAATATTAAGAAACCTTAAACAACTGCATATTAGGTGTGGAGCAACTCAACTCCATTCCACACCAACTTTCAGCAATAGGTATATTATTAAATAATATATTTTTGTTTCAGGCATAATTAGCAGAGGTAGCCATGCAAGCAGAAATGGGTAAGATCTCATTATATGAGTTTACATGAATCTTATTAAACTCAATATATCATAAGCATTTAGCATTATTTGGAACAATGAACATCAGAATAAAAGTCAACATTAACTCAGACCCAGGGATGATAACTGGACCTTACCTGGTTGAACCAAATGTGCCATGTAATGATCTCATCATTTAAAGTGAATACTTCATCTGGAGGAGCTAGGTGATTCACCTTCCCAACTTTTACACGAAGAAATGAATTGTTTGGGAAAGCAATCCAGTTGATAATATCAAATCCAGCTCTTATTATCCCATTCTGGTCAAAGGAGATCTGGTCCCCAGCACTGTTGTTAAAAGAGACTCCTTTTAGAAAGTAATGAAGCTGAACCAAAAAAAAAAAAATAATAATGCAAGAGTTTTGAAAGTTTAAATTTTTTGTGATGGTAGTTTTCATAGCAGAAAAGCAGATATATAGCTGCATTCTTTGTCCATAACTTTTACGTTTATTGCAATTGAGTCAAAAGGTGTCGAAAATGGAAGGAGTCAATTTATAGATTTCAGGTGAATTTATATATTTCACAATGCCTCTGCTAATCTTCCTCTTATGATTTAAATGCTGTTTTATGGAAAAACAACCTGATTCCAGTAAAGTTGTTTGTCTATCAAAGAGTCATGAGAATATGATGCACACACACAAACACAGTTCCATGAGAGATTCAGAAGGGAGGGAGAGTGGGCTTTCTAAAGTTACACTCACAAATATGACATTAACATCCTAAACATCATAGGGAGGAACCCAATAGAAATCAAAGTAAAAGTTTCAAATAGTAACAGTGGAAAGGAAAGTATTGTGACAAAACTGTGAGCTGTTCTTTCATATTCAGGAGATGGGAAGACAGATGAAATGCAGACACAGGTTTCCCTACATACTTACATGGATGGTGCTCTGAGAAATAAGGATATTGGGAACATTACCTGCAGGAAATCTTGTTTATGATTTTTTTCTCCTCCTCTGACTGCCATTGCTCTGTGTTTATATCTAGATGTAGATATGGCATGGAAAGCATGAGCTACTGCATAAATACCATTGTAGATATTGTAGCTATGGCCAGTCATGTCTATTTCAAAAATAGGCCCAGGAAGGCTCTTCAGAATCTCTGTCCCAGTGCAAATGTCTTCAGGCACATCACTCAAGACCACATCTGGGAATACGCAGTTGAAAACATCTTGCCAAAACTGAGTAATAAACCCATTTTCCTTTCCATTGAAGAAGGGGTTTTGTTTTGCAACAAATGACTGGAACTCTGGTAGATCAGCAGAGGGCATTGAGAAGGAGAGGGCACCGTGAATTATTTCTGTACTCCAAGAGCGTTGAAATCCTGAGGAAGTCAGCTCTATCTGGGCTGTCATTATCCATATAATACCTTTTGTTTTAGTTCTTACCTCTTCTATTCTTGGTATATACTGCAACCATCTCAAAAATATCATGGTGAAAGATTCCCCATAGATCACAAATGTATTGGCTTTACTACCCATGATTTTATCATAGATTTTTACTCCTTTCTGAATCATATCATCAAGTCCATCTACATCACTAAATTTGTCCAATTTTTCAATGAAAGAGTAACAAATCCCTCTTTTGGAAAAAAGTGGAATCATAGTTTGTACAAATTTTTCCCCTTGGTCATTGTCCATGGTAAGGATCCCAATCCAGGTCCACCTAAAATGCAGGAGCAGTGAGACAATCCCTGCATACTGAAGGGTATCTGGGGGAACCATCTGGTAAAAAGCAAGGCCTGGAGTTTTATCATTCATCAATGGAGCCGAGCCATAAATGAGCTAGAGAGAAGTGGGGAAAAGAAATAACAACATATATAGAACCCTTATAATGTGGATAAAATACATTAACAATCCTACCACCATTCATATAAGGCAGCCTTCAATGTGCCTAATTGAAATCATGTTTCAGTTTCTGCTGTATTTCCCATATGCATTGTTTTGTCATAAATCCGATGGTAGTGCCTTAAATCTAGAACTCATTGAAACATCCTTTCAAACTGAATTTTTGAATTCTATCACAATGATGTCAAATTGAATCAAGCCATTCTGAAATGTTTTAGAGGGGCTCAGTAATGATTTAGAGATTCAGTACACTTTCTAAACCACTGAACCATGATTGCCACTTTCCTTCCACAAAATGGATAGCTTGGAAAATTATTCTCTCTTTTTGTATCTTTCTTATTTTAGTAGAATTTGTTTAGAGAAATTCACTGGGAGGCCAGGAAAGATTCATTCTGCTTCCATTTTTGATCAGATTTGCTATTATTTGTGTAATGTTCTGCTTTTCCCCAAATTAATGTCATTTGGTTGTTACCTCATTCTAAGTCCTAGCTGTTCCCTTCAGTCTTTCTGTTCTGAATATTCACAAATCTTTTGCTGCTGATCTTCACTTTCCTACATTCCATTCCCAATGAATCCCCTATTTCCTTTCTGCCAGTTCCTGTTTCTGCTTGTCTTGTCCTCAAAAAGCCTAAGGTGTAGTGTGGATTTGAGAAACTGTGTTGGCATGTAGTTTAGACTGTTCATTGCTATAGTATTATAAGCACTAAGCGCATGGTCAGATTTTTAATAATGTTGCACAAGAGGCAAGTAAGAGTTCACTTTCAGAAGGATCTAACCTTAAGAGTGAGGTGTGAAAACAACGAGGTGTACAAACTAGTGGTCAGAGGGTGACAGGTGCTTCCATCTTTAATAAGAGCTTTTTAAACAATCCTTGAATTTTAATTTTTTTTACAATCCTTGAATTTTTATTTTTTAGTCTGAGGGCAGCACTTTCCGTCATTGGTCTCCTCTTCTTTTATAATTGCTCCCTTGAAAGAGGTATGAAGTAATTACTAAAAAATATTTTGCTCTGTAGTTATTGAAGCTACCTAACTTAAACATTACAGAACTTATGCATGTTAAATTTCATACACAGAGTCAAAAAGTGTCCTACCTGTGGAATTTTATAGATATCCAAGATGGTGGAGACATGAAGAGAGATTTCAGCATCCAATCCCCCAACAACAGATACTAAATTATTATGGATGTTGCAGCTGTAATTGGGGATCAGTCTCTCCACTGATGACAGAAGTAGCATTGTAGCCTGAAAAGTCTTCTGGGCATTGTCATAGCTGTCAAGGATGCTGAAACCCAAGGTGAGATTGGGCAAGATCTGTGGGTTTTCATTGATCTCCTTTACTGCAAATGTCATAGCCAGGATGTGTTGGTAATTCTTAGGAACTAGACTACAATGAGAGATTATGAATAGAGTTAAATAATATCAATGTTTAGCTTCACAACACATAATTCTTTCCCCCTCTTGAGATAATAATACTCAAATTAACTTTTTGAATTCATACAATTTGACACTGATATGCAATCTTTTACAGATACACACTAAAATATATACATATACATACATGTAAGTTCTCCATGGAACTTACAGTGTTACTTACTGTGACATTGGAATTCTTTGAAGAGAAGAAAGAGGAAATTATATTCCTAAATAGCAAGAATCAAAAGGATGGGGATAAAGGCTTTCATATATTTAAATATTTTTACAATTATGTATACAGATTATATAAATAAACCTAATTACATTTAAAATAAGGAATTTTTGAAAGAAAATTAATTCCCCAAAATGTGAAACAAATACTGAAGGAATCTGGAAACTACTTAAAACTCAGAACAAATGGTTTTCAAAAGCATAGCTATTTAAATTTTTGCAAATAGCTAGGCTTATACACCTTAGCATTTCCACAAAGATCCCTGATTTGCTTGTGCTTTGCTTTTCCAGATAATCACTAAATATTTCCCAGACAGAAAACAATTATGAAACTTAAACTGGTAGGGATATATGTATTCCTAGATCAGCTTTCCCCAACTTGATGCTTTCTAGATGTTACAAATTTCAACTCCTCCCACTCACTGGATAGCAAAGCCTGGAAGGCAAAATGGAGTAGAAACTGAAGTCCACATCAAGATGGTATCTGATCAGAAAAGCTGTTGCAGATTCATTTCCTGCAATCAACATTTCATTATGGATATGACTAGAAAAGAATATGTAGTGGGCTTGATGGATTCATCATCTGAGGAGATAGAAGACAACATCCTATATTTTTTCTGAAAATTCTTTCCTTGGGAACACCCATGCTAAAACAAGACAAGCCCAAGAGTTGTCATTTAGATTAAAAAAAAAAAAAAAAGCAAACTGCAAATACAGTTGGGAACATCTGTGATTTTTTAAGGTTATAAGAAATGAATTTATTTGTATTTGTCATTCTTTCAAGATGCACATCCTGTTGTTTCATGAGAAATATATGCTTCATTGTTTAATGAGAAATCCAGAAGTTCATAGAAAAAAACCTGACATATAAAACTTGAAGATGAATGGGAGTAGTCACATAAGAAGCTAGTATTATGAGAGATTGGGCAGGAAAAGGCAATGAAAAGAAGACAATGGAAATATTACAGGAAGAAATAGAAGAGATTTAAACCAGACTTCCACCATCTGGGCGTCCTCTAGCTTCAACTCCCAGCCTTCTGCAGAAAACTGGGAATCAAAGTCACAGATCTGGAGCACATTAAGATTTGGGAATTTTACTTTACATGTGTAAATACTTTCCAAACTATATTTGTCAGCATGCTCCTTAGTGTCAGGCAATATAATCAGCTTATGTTCTAAGATGTTAGGGCCACGTTTTACTATTTCAGTGACTGAAATCCCTGAAAGTGCAATAAATTATACTGTTCCTTACATAAACTCCCCAGGAACTGCTGATGGGGGAGGTTCAGTTAAGCTGACTGGTTTGGAGACAATCGCAGCCTGTGAAACAATGCCACCAATCATAAGGTCTCCCAGATGATGGTATTTGTGATATGGTGAGTGTGGATGAAAGATACTGCATCTGTCACTCTTGCACACCATATGAGGAAGTAGCACTAGCAGGAAAACTAGTATAAATGCCATCCTCAGTACAAGGGCAAATGTCAAGACTCTCTTTTCTTTTAAGACCCAGCCATTAGCAATCTGTGGTTAATACTGCCTGACAAATGGTGGCTTAATTTCCTGGTAGAGTCTGAACCTTGGACTATCTAGCATTAGAATTATGGATCCTTACCTGCTCATAATCTTGTCTCTTCTCTGTAGCTCTAAATGGTATTAGTGTTTGTGCATATATATCTCAAGAGAGAAAAAGAAGAAAGCAACAGTCTTAATTATGAGTTTTGCTAGTGAGCAGTGAACTCCATGGCAAGCAGAATAAAATGCATATTTTTAGATTCAAAAACACAAAGGCTATTATTAAGTCAGATTTCTATTCCCAAAGGATTTGCCAGAAAAGTAGCACTCCCTATAGATTAGCAAGAGGTTCAGAATAACAGTTCAAAGTGTGTGTGTGTGTGTGTGTGTGTGTGTGTGTGTGTGTATTTGTATTCCCAAGGATGGATGGATGGATGGATGGATGGATGGATGGATGGATGGATGGATGGAT